GCATGGTACGCTATTTAAAGGGCAGCCGGGTCGGGGTGTGCTTTTAAAAGAGAGAGTGACCTTCGTCTTTATGGTTGGTGTGACTCGGACTGGGCAAGTTGTCCTCTCACTCGAAGATCTCTCACCTAGGTTGGTTTATTTTCCTTGGTCAATCCCCGTTTCCGGAAAACCAAGAAGCAACATACGGTTTCTCGATCATCCGCTGAGGCGAGAATATCGTTCTATGGCCAACACGACATGTGAGTTGAAATGGCTTCAAGGCCTTCTTTCGAGCCTAGGCATTACTCACACCGACCCTATGACTCTCTACTGTGACAACCAAGTTGCCCTTCACATTGCCAAGAATCCTGTGTTTCATGAACGGACAAAACATATTGAAGTGGATTGTCATCTTATTCGTGATGAAATACAACACAATCATATCCAACCCTCCTATGTGTCCACTCATCATCAACTGGCTGATCTCTTCACCAAATCTCTTGGCGCCACTAAATTTGGTTCTTTTTTAGGCAAGTTGGGCATTCATAACCTTCATACTCCATCTTGAGGGAGGGTGATAAACATAGAATATACGATTACAAATACCGTATCATGCCATGATTCTACATGATTAATTTTTTCCATATTTAGCTTGGCATGACAGCGATGCACAGTGATGCACATTAATGTCATATCTGTTAATAGACAAATTTAGGATACCGACTATAATGGTTAGCGTAATTATAGCCTAGAATGTTTCTGTATTTCATGTATATATTGTGCTATCATATTCAATACAAGACAGGGGTTTTTGGAAATATTTTTATCAGATCTGGATCTGAACCTTCAATCTCTGGGAGATTGTGGGATCCTTCAAACTAAGGTTGAAGTTAGGAAAGATGGTGAGAACTACACTTCCAACGTGAAGAGTAGTTAGAACAGTACCGATAACGACATGCTCATAATGAAGGTAGTTGGAGTCTAAAAGAGAGACTTTGACTGAGACAGGTAATCCCCATCTTCCGTGGAGAGAGAGGACAAGTTGGATTGCTCCATAATGGAGATGAGTGTAATCCTCAATTTGTCAATGCTTGATGAGATCTTTGGGGATCTCAATGTTGACATATTGTTCTTCTGTAGTGGATGCTAAGACACACTGGTCCATCCTGGAGGATTGGACGTACTCCTTGACATGAGGTCTTCTGGTGGAAAGAAGACGAGTGATAGATCTAAGGGTAGATCTTTGTCTCCTAAAAATATTATAAGGACTATAAGGAGAAGATTGAACGTCTGAGAGATATGAGCGTCTTCTGGGACATAGGAATACTCTATGAGGTTTTCTATTTTTGAAGAAAGAGTTTTTGAAATATTTTTGGGAAGAGAAAGGGTTGAGTTTAACAAAATGGGACCAACGGAACCGGACTATGATGGTGGTGTTTAGTTATCCATGTTTAAAGGTTTCTCTTACTCACTTTCCACTTGAAATTCCTATTATCATACCTCCTCCTGAAAAATGGTTAGGCTCTGATACCATTTCGGACAGAGACCCCTTCTTATCCAGACGATATGAACATCCTCAAGCATAACGACGTCATCCCTCGGCTAAAAGCCCACTTCGATTTACAAATGATTTATTTTAAGAAGTTATTTATGATTAACAAATATAATATGATAATTTTTTATAAGATATTTGAGTTTATTAAAATATGGTGGTTATTATTTAACGTGTGTCATAAATTATCTTTAATTGTATTCATTTGAAAGATTCTAATAATTTATTGTGTGACAAATTATGTGCATTCATGAGAATGCAATGTGAGTCATTTGCTAGGAAATACAATGATGAAAGGGGACCAACGAACAAGAGTTTAAAGTGACATTGCATTATTGTCTAAAGAATTTAAATATCTCCAAAGATGGGATGATAATTGTGAAAGGCGTGTGACATTTTATGGTGAAGGAGGTGTTCAATTAGTGAGGCAGAGGAGCCATAATCAAACCCTCAAGAGCAAGAAAGAGGTTATTAAAAAAGGTTAATAAGGAGTTGCAAGGCCCAAACCACGTCTTAAAAAGCCATAATAAGGGTTTCAAGTGGACCAGCAGTTTTGTGCATTCAGGGCACAAGTGAAGGTACAAACTGACCCAAGCTATACCCCTTGTGAGGGTTTCCCTATTAAAGAAATTTCAACCATGTTTTAAATAGAGAAGACAATATAGTAAGATGGGTGACAATAATTTATTACTATTTAATCATATTTTTTTATATGATATTTCGATATAATTAGTTAATATGAAAATGATTAGATATTTTTTTATATTAATATTATTACTATATTATCATTATTATTATATTTATTAGATACATTTATAATTCTAAAATATAAATATATTGAATATGAGTATGAGTATGAATATATCATAACGTAAATTAATAAAAATATATGATAGAAATATTGAGATTCTAATTTGCATATTTCAGCCCTTAAAATTTATAATTTTATCATCCCTAAAATATTTATATTTTCTTGAAAGTATATATTTATATGAAACTATTAGTTTATATATAAATATATTAATAATAAAGCTTATAATAACTTAAAATAGCGAACAAGTATATATATATATATATATATATATATATATATATATATATATATATATATATATATTAACATCTAATATTGTTATAAGTATTTGTTTATTAATAATATTATTAATATAACTATTACTATTAATCACATGTATATATTATTTAGTAACAATAAATATATGTATAATTTTAGTTTATATTTCTTTCATTTGTGTAATTAGAAAAAAATCATCAATTTAGTGGTTAAGTGTTATTTGTGGGGCAAGGTTATTTTCATATTTAACATTTTGATAACAAAAAAATTCGTATTATATGATCATGTTAGTAACACATCAACGTTATGTCATCATCTACTAATATCATATCATCAAAAGTTATTAAACCTTAACAAAAGAATACTGAAATGGCCAAAATCATATGATTGTAATATACAGATATCAAGTTTACTCGTTCAAATTTGAAGAATCAAAATCATGCAACTGAGATACTCACGGGAAAAAAAATATGTTGAAGTTTGATCTTTATTATTTTTCTATTTTTTCATCACATTATATTTCTCATCTACTATACTCATATTTTATTATGAAGGATAATTTATACTACTAATCATATTTTTAATTTTCATTCACTAGATATTAAACAGTATTTAAGTGTTGAAAAATAATTTTTATTATTATAGTCAACCCTTTATCTCTAATATCGCTCTATACTTTTTTTTTCATTATATCACTTATTATTTTCCATCTAATTTCGCTCCTTATAATTTTTAAATATTATCATTTATAATTTTTTTAATTGAGCTTCTTAATTTTTTTATTTTAAAAATGCTGCCTTCATCATTAAAGTTCACTAATTATTAGAGTGTTGACTTAATAACTTTGAAACTAAAATTGCAATTTATTTTCATATAAATTTTAAAGTCGCTCATAAATAAAGGTTAATAATAGTTAATATATATATATATATATATATATATATATATATATATATATATATATATATATATAATAGTTTTAAAATGTATAACAGCTCGAATATAGATTTAAGGTGAAAACACTTTTCTTTTTAAATAAATGTCAATTATGAACAATAATACTAAAAATAGATATTATCATATTAAAAGTAATTTAAAAATTATTAATTATAATAATATTATCATATTAAATTTAACCTTAAAGTTATTTTTATTAAAAAAATAGAGAAAAAATATTTATAATACTTAAATGCACTTTTAATTATATATTTAGTTCTTCAATTTTTTTCCATTATTATACATCATCAAATTAATTGAAAATATTAATAAATATACTTGATAACAAATATTAAAGTTGTGAATAAGTAAATAAATTTTTGCATGTAAACAAATCTTATCCTTATATTTTATACCATCCTTCACGATCTGTGTTGTTTTTGAAAACTAAAAAGAATTAAAAAGAAATATCACAAGTATTGATAAAATAATTAAGCGTTTGGATATTTGACTTGTGAACTTGACATGCATTTCTTCCCTTTCTTAAAACTATAAATAGGCTCCCACTCTTACCATAACAAGTCGTGCCATTGAAAGTGAGAAGAGATAAAAAGTGAGGGAGGGTTTGACTTTGAGATAATCTTTTCTCACCTTCTAGTGACCACTGTGACTTAGTACACAGATTTTTAGAGACACTCCAATTACGTTCAACAGAGATGGTCATTCACCACCAAACTTTGGCTTTTGTTTTCGGCCTTCTAGGTATTCTATTCAGAAGTGTGTTACTTTTCTTAATACCTTGTATTTAGGAGAAACATAAAACACTATTTGTACACCAGATATATGTGAGACATTACTACCATTGCATGCCATTTTTCTAGTTTCTAGGTACAAATAATAATAGTAACAGCAGTTGTTGTTGTAGTAATAATAGTAATCACAATTTGTACATGAGTACTGATGAATGTTTCTTCTTTTTTATTTTTTTGTGCTATTAGGCAACATCATCTCCTTTATGGTGTTCCTTGCTCCATTGTAAGTGATTTTCTTCAACACCATACTCATTGTAATTATCCACTGAAACACTTTTTTTAACTATGTTTGTTATACGTGATGAATGCAGACCAACTTTTTACCAAATCTACAAGAGGAAATCTGCGGAAGGGTTTCAATCACTACCTTATGTTGTTGCACTGTTCAGTTCAATGCTCTGGATTTATTACGCACTCGTCAAAAAGGATTCAACCCTCCTTCTGATTACTATTAACTCCTTTGGATGTGTGATAGAGACAATTTACCTTGCCATCTTCTTATTTTACGCCCCAAATAAAACCAGGGTTTACCTTCTTATAACTTCTATATATTAATCCCTGCAATTTTTATTTTTATTTCCATTTTAATTTCAAGTTTAAGAAAACTAATAAGTTTCCCTTTTCTCAAATGTCACAGCTTTCGACCATCATGCTTCTTCTGTTGTTGAATGTGTTGGGGTTCGGAGCGATGCTTCTTTCGACCCTCTTCCTTACAAAAGGGTCCAAACGTCTTAATGTGATTGGATGGATTTCTCTCGTTTTCAACATAAGCGTATTCGCTGCTCCTCTCTGCATTATCGTAAGAATTTTCAGTGTTTTTCAACATGATGGACTAAAAGCTTATGCATGTATTTTTTCCTTATGCCCTCAAACGTAAACCAATTCTTATGATTGATGCATGCAGAGACGTGTGATAAAGACGAAAAGTGTGGAATTCATGCCTTTAAGTTTGTCCTTTTTTTTGACTGTAAATGCTGTCATGTGGTTCTTCTATGGCCTTCTCCTCAACGACTACTACATCGCTGTAAGTTCAATTCAACCATGCTACGTGCGGTCAATTCAATCACTTATTGCATTTCCTTTTTTATAGATATTCCATAACTTTTCCTTGTGCTTTAATGTCAATTTAATCATAACAATTTATTACCTGTACTTACTCTATTATTATGGTTTCCCGTATGAAAAAACAAGTAAAATGAAAACAAGGGTCTCCCTATTCTATTCTACTATTATTATTGTTTAGAAAATCTTAAACATTTTTTATTCCTTTCCATTTGATATAACCGCCCCAAAAGTTTTGATTTGATTCTTAAAAAAGTATTTAATGTTTGCATTTGGATGATGCAGCTCCCAAATACGTTAGGTTTTCTATTCGGCATAATTCAGATGGTGATGTATTTGATTTATAGAAACGCCAAGCCAGATGAGCCAATGAAATTGCAGGAACTGAATGGTGATGAGATTATTAACGTTGAGAAGATGAGTACAATGGTAGCCTCTGACCCGAATCATGTAACAAGTTGTCCTCTGACTGAGATAGCTATTCAGAATCCAAATGGAAATGAAGGACATGGAAAACTCAAGAACTTCGTGGATTCCCCTTCCAATGTGTGATAATTAATCAAACAAGTCCAAGGAAAAAACAAGTGAACGTAATAAACTGAGGTCCAAATCAATATTTAACCTACCAGTATGATAGTAATCACTCCACTTGCCCAAGTGGGTCTCTTCTCAACGCAATAAAAGTGTTGTGGAGTTTAGGGTTCTTGTTTTGATTAACGCATTTGCCTCAATGTGAAGCAGTGGTCATTGTATGTTATTATATAATTCTATAATACTGTAATAAATAATTTACTCCATTTGGGGTTTAACCTTTGTATTTTTAAACTAATGGATATAGTCTTATATTTTTAAAAATATATAATTGTTTACATTTATCAAATTACAGTTAAAGTTGAAAGACGATGAACACGTTTTTTTTTTCTCTCCAGATATTATTTTATCTATTTTCATTGTTACCCGGTCATCCTCATTAATTATCTCTTTCCCTTCTACGCGCAATCTATGTGGTGGGAATTAATTATTATCTTAACAATGACCGTTTATAGAGTTCATACAATCATCACTACCCTAAATGTTAAGTTTTCTATGGTTATTGGTATATCACCATGATTAAATTATGCATAATATCCTTCCCCTACGAGTCAAATTGGATTGAGGTGATCATCATCAACTTGATCAAGTCAAGTTTGATACGGACAGGTTAATTTTGACGGGTTAGATATTTTTATTTAAGTCGAGTTAAGTCGATTCAAGTTTTAAAGGTTCAAATCAAAATTTAATAAAAAAGAAAATATGAAAAAAAATTGAAAAATAAAAAGATGGATAAATTCAAATTTTAAATTTTTAGGTGGAATTAGAAATTTTTTTATTTTATTTAATCAAATTGCTTTCATGATTTTATAAAATTTTAATTATTTTTCAAATTTTTATCCAAACAACTGTGTGAACTATTTTAAATTTTCCATTAAAATAAATTACTCTATATAAATTTTTCATCCAAACCTAAGATCACCTTATGTTTGGATAAGATAACATGTAATTTCAAGAAATTCAAGTATACTGAATTTGAATTTCTTTCATTTTAAAAATTTTAAATTTATAAATGATTTTTTGGATAAAATAATTCAAATTTATTGAATTTTAATTTGGATAAAATATTTCAATTACTATCAAATATAAAAGTTATCATTAATAGATTTGTGACATAAGTATAACACACAATACTTGATGTTATTCACCTAGATAAGATTGAATTGAGACAAACTATAACATACTAAATCGAGTAAAGTAATACCAAGACAATTAGGCTAGTAATTTGGGCATTATTAAGACAAACCGTACTGATTGGGAAGGTTGCGTCAAGTTGGATTAGGTTAATAAGTTAGAATGAGTCAAATCGAGTAATGTCAAACTGTGTTGGGATAAGTCATGTCAAACTTTATTGGGATGAGTCAAGTCGAGTTGTGTCGAATTTTGTTGGGATGAGTCAAGTTGTGTCAGGTTAAATCATATCATGTTGAGTCAAGATAAGTCAGTTTGTGTCGTAATCAAACAGGATAAACCAAGATGAAATAGATTGGGTTAAATCAAGACAATATGTGTTCAATCAAGAGGGGAAAAATCAAGATGAATTTGTTCCAACAAAGATAAGTCAAGTTGCAATAGCTTGGTTTGGGAGGGTCAGACTTACTTTGAGTAGTTGAGTTAGAGTTAATTAACAAGGATTTTATTAGGTTTTGATAGGTTAGGTTAGGATGAGTTGGACCAGGTCAAAGTGAGTTGGGTAAGATGAATATGGGATGAACCAGATTAAGAACAGTCAGGACGAGATAGTTTGAGTATGGATATAATGTGTTGAGTTAGTTTGAATTAGGTCAAGATGAGTCGAGTCAGGTCAAACTAGTTCATATTTGCCTCGAGATGGATCAACCCATGTTGAAACAACTCAAGATAAATTGAAAATATCTCAATATTGAGTAAAAGAGAAAATATAAAGAGATGAAATATAAATTTGAGAAAGGAAAAAATACGAATAATTTTAAATTCTCTTATCTTTAAGGTGAAATTTGAAATTATTTTATTTTAAATAATCAAAATATTTTTATAAATTTTTAAAATTTTGATTTTTTTTAATTCTTTAACCAAATAAGCAATTTTTTATAAAATATTTCAAATGCTCTATATTAAGATAAATTTCTCTTTATAAATTTTTCATCATAACACGATATTACATGATGGAGTAAAAGACAAGAACCCACTCCTTAGAAAAACGTCTATCAGGGAAATGCACTTTAGATATTATTACAAGCTTGACATTTTGTTATATATTTAATTGCTCTTCATTGCGGTCTTAATTGTTGTTACTTTATCTGCACTTTAGAATGGACCCCTTTGATAAATACAAACATAGTGCATTTCAGTGCTGTTTTCTCTTGGTTCTCTGGTTTAGAAGCATAGATGTTGAATTAGGTTTATTGTTCAAATACCCTGATGAAACTTAAGAATCACATCTAAGGTAAAGTCACGGGTACGGATACAAACATCTTCAGGTAGAAAATGTTTTAAACTTTGCAAGAAACTAATCAAACTTTGAATGGTTGTTTCATTGTCGTAAGTGGGTCATGGGTGTATCCGCCAACCCAGAAGTTTCTTTTGATCTGAGGGACGCAGCTAGTTATCATTACGTGTATAAGTCAATTATTTTAAGGGGAAAATTTTGGTGTTATGGTTGCTTTGTCAAATTATTCATTTTGTCGTTGTCTTTTTGTTGTTCCAAATATGAATCTTTTTGCTTGGTTTTTTCTTGGCACAGATGCAGGCTCTCTCCCGTGTTGTTTGCTTTTATTTGCCTTGTTGTCATTGTATAATTGTTTTGTTTTCTAATATATGATTTCAATAATAATAAATATATTTAAACTTTAAAGTATTTAATTTATGTACCAACTGTATTATAAAAAATAAATAGATGAATAATTACATGTTAACCAATATCCCAGAAAATCATCTAAGAGGTGAGTCCATCAGACAACTCATCCGTTAACATGCATAAATAAGACCAACAAAACATTACATTTGATGTCCATTATACTGCCGAGTAGGGAGGCGTGTTGGATTCAATCATCAATCCTAATTTGGTTTTTATACAATCATAATCATATTTTTCTATCCAAAGATAAATGAAACATTGCGATTTCATACTTAAAATTATGATGAAAATTAAATGCAGAAATATAATTGTTTTAGCCATAATAAAATATTTAAAAATTAAAATTAATTTGATGAATTTTCAAATTATGGAGAGAGTATTACTTTATGTTTACTCTTATAAAAGGATAAAAAAAGGTCATTAATTATAATTTCGTGTTGTTCTTTTTTTATCATACGTTAAATTTGATTATTATAATATAACTCCTCGTTAAATTATAATATCATCGAAAATATTTATACAATTAGTCTTTCATAATATATTTTAAGCATAATTTTTATATTAATTATACTATTATAATTATTTAATATATATATATATATATATATATATATATATATTTATATATAATCCAAAACAAGAAGAACTTAGGGGACGAGGATGGCCATACTCCTTCCAATTTTTTTAATATAGTTTAATTTAAAAATAATAAACAATTTTAATTTCATAAAAAATAAATAAAAATAATTTTGTTATTTTATTTAATAAATTTTTTTATTTGATATTAAATAATAATAAAAATAATAAATATCACTTTTTATTCTTTCAGTTAATTTTTTATTTATACTTTTTTTTCTCCCACCTTTACTCGCATATTTATACATTTTGGTCTCTCTAGTTCCACTCTTCCCCTTCTAACTTTTTTTTCTTACATCTATTCTTTTACTTTTATGCTTCTATATTTTTCCTTTATATCCTTTTAATGTGACCTTTTTCTTTTTCATTATTCCGCCTTTTGATATAAAAATTATATATTTTTCTATTATTTTCTACCAATTTTTTCACGGTTTCACCGTTACAGTATTAAATTATAATTTTTGTTATTCATTTTTCTACTCTATTTGTCCATGTTGGAAACATGGAGTATTAGAAATAAAAAGGAAAGAAGTTAAAAAAAAAATGATATCCATAATTCTTAAATTAAATAAACAAATTAAATAAACAAATTAAATTTTATTTTAATTTTTTTAATATTTTAATATATTATTATGTGTAATATAGAAATATAAAATGTTAATATAATTTTAATATTTGTTATCATTTAGTTGGTTGCTTCGTTTTTATTGTGTTGTATTAATATATATATATATATATATATATATATATATATTTTTTTTTTTTAAATTTAAATTGAAAGAGTGATATAAAAAGAAAATTATTATAAAGTTCAATTCAAACATAATAATCATTTTTATAGAATGAAACATTGTCAAACATAATTAAAAAATTAAATATATTAAATATATAATTGATCTCATATATATTTATTTATATTAATATTAAATATATGTAAATAATTTATAATTTATAATAATTTTATATAATATATTTATTTTTATGAGAATTAATTTTAATTTATATTTATTCATTAATCTCACTCCCTCGTCTAAAATTTCTTACTTCTTTGAAGTTGTAGACACATCATCTTGGATTCATCAAATCAGACAAGCCTATGTACCTCGTTTGGTGCCACTTGACTAGTAGATCTAGGTCATTCAGAAAAACTCTACAAAGATCCTGCGTGTCACTTTACAAGTCATATATCGTCTGATCTGAGCATACTCAACTACCTGCCACGTGTTACTTGTCTAATACAATGATATACCATGTTTGTGACAACATGATTTTGAAACATCTAAAAAACATAATCATATGGAAGTACATGTCACCAGACCCTACTGTGAAGTTAGTTACAGCTACTACTTCGTGTCAGTAGATTGTCCCATGCAAGTTTTACTATAATTTATCATGTTTTAAAAGCTTATTTCAATAAAAAAAAACGAGTTGATACCTTGTTGACCAACTATTTATATAGTTGATTAGATGAAACTATTAAGCGCGTCTA